ATTATTATTATTATTATTATCATTATTATTATTATCATCATTATCATTCAATGTTGATCAAGTAGAATCGAGTTCTAGAATGCTATCACTCTAGAATACGGCTCTACTCCTGCGGCAACCATTTCAATCATGATTATTGCATTATTGTTGGTCGAGTCTTCGTGCATTTGACCAAGCCCATCCCTCTCGCGACATTTATCTACCTCAAGATACGTCACATGATTCAAGGAGTCTGGGTTCTCTTGGCGCCATTTTTCTAAAAGAACCCAAGATGGCGGCGTTCGCGGGAAGAACTCTGAGTAGTGTCATATGCGAAGCAAATGGCAAAGTCAAATGCACCGATATATCCATGCCTTGTACTGATTTCAAGATTGGTAAAATGAATGTTTTAAGACTGGGAAAAGCTAATTCTTTCAGTATATCAATTCAACAAGCTGCTGGACAACGTTCATCATCAAAGAAAACTGTTATTGTAAGTCGTCTAAAATCTTGAGAAAATTCGCAAAGATATTTGGCCTATAAAGTCCATTAGTTTAAACTTAACATTATTTCATTCATTTAATGCTGTCAGTGTAGGAAAGTGTTGGTTTACGAAGGTTTTGAACGAGTGTTGTTGTTTGATTGTTAGTAAGTTTGTGTTTTGAATTATCTAGATATTAATTAAGCTTTAACTAGTATTAAAACTTACAAACGCTTACAAATCATAGCCTTCCCTCTGTGACATAATTTGCTTTTTAGATACCATTTTTATTAATTTAACAATGGTATATTCAATAAATGTTTATGGTATATCATATGTATTTGATTCAACAGCTAAAGCCACATGAGTTTAAGTTGAGTGTGAGGCCTAGTAAACTCACCATTACCTTTGGATACAACAAGACTGCATTGTCAATTGTAGAGGCAAAAGAAACTGAATTGAAGGCACTGGTTGATTTACTAAACGCTATCAATGAAGGGAAATTTTCAGAACGTAAAGATAAAGGTAATTAAGTAACTSTTAACATTCAGGTAGTTTAACTACAACTATGTCCAGAGAGGACACCTATTTGGAATCGTGGGGGGTTAGTGGTTAATAGTGCAGTTTTTGTATGACTGTGAAAAATTCATGGCACGAACACGGTCATGACACAGCAAGGGATACGCCAGACCAATCACATTGCACGAGAATTTACTCTCCATCCAATCAAATACCTGCAACAAGGGGCATGAACAYGGTGTGGACACGGTCACGCCAAGGTCATGGCAATGCCAGACCAATCACATTGCAAGTGAAAAAAATCAGCCAATTAAAATTCTAGAAAGCATCATGGTCACAGCACGTCATGCTTACGGCACTGAGCTTTTCACAGTCATACGAAAACTGCTCTAAGTCTTGACCCCACTCCACTGAAATCCTGAACTTAATAAAACAACTGTTATTATTCATTTTACTCACTACTCGCGTCTCATTGACTGAGAGCRTACAGCCAACCCCTGATATCTTGTGAACTTGACAGGATAAATCTATTATCCACAAAAAAATTGGAGATAATAGATTTATCCTGTCAAGTTCACTCTAGGTCGTAGCAGAAATTAAAAGCGTTTGCTTTTTTTTCAAAAGGAGAATAAAATCTTTACTCTTAGTTTCCAAAATATACCCTCATTCAAATATGCTTTATGCATTAATGTTCTGTACATGACATTGCTATTTCAATCATCTCTTGAACTGTCACCTAACAGGAATAGTTGGTGTTTACAAACATTAGCTTTGTGCAGACTAGTAATGCTTGTAATGACACCCAACAATCGCTTTTCAGAAATCAGTTCAAGACTAAACCAAAGGGYTGAGTTATCAGAAACACTTCAGCGAAATGGCAGTTTAGCAAATGATGAGGTAAGCAAATAATTTCCATAGCATACAAAAATATAGGAGGTCAAGATTGCTATTTGTTTCCTTTGGTGTATTATAWTTATGTTACACTGAAGACATTTTGACTTTCCCTAGAACCAACCCTTAAACAGAAATGTCCAAAAGAATACAAATGCATTTGTCCAGTCAAGTGAAGCAAACCAGTTTTTGTCTACTGGACCAGATCACAGCCATTCTCCTTCAAGGTAGTGTTTATCTTATATGGAGTTGACTTGAAATATGGAATTTGAGAGGACATTTGGCCACATATTAATTTTGACATTTTACATTTACATTTTACATAARCAATAATCATCCTTTTGCTTGAACACTATGTTTTCCCATTTAAGAATAAGAATTATTATTCTCTGGACAGGGGTGTATCCAGGAATTTTAGAAGGGGGGAGGGGTGACTATTACAAATTTTTTACCAGGAATTCAAGGAAAAGGGGGATGAATGTTACTAACAATCTACTGAGGAATTTGAACAAAAGGGCAGTGACTACTCACCCCTTTTACCACCCCCCTGGATCCGTCCATGCTGGAGAATAATATCTCATATGAGATTATGATAAGCATATAACATTTATTTCTGCTATAAAATTCAAGGTTAGAATCAACTACTCACCTGGGAGTTAAGAGGAAGCACACTCCATTCTCTTCCAGAAGCCTAAATTGTAAGTTGATTTTTTCTTACTGACATTTACAACCAGAATAAATTTGCTACTATACATGTCAGTGTATAAGTTGAATTTTCAAGCCTTAAAATGGCCCTTAAAAAATTAAATTGACTTTGACATACACCAGGTCATAGATGCAAACATTCAGCAAACGTAGCATAATGCAATATTACTAAACTGACAGGATTTTTTCATTATATTATATATAAAATATACATAAAGCTATCCGAAAATATGTGTGCATGCTTGTACTGTAGGTAAGAAAACTAACAAAATTATGATCTTTTTTTCCTAGCTTCCTATGGATCAAGATATTCAAGTCCATCTGTATTAGTCAAAAAGTAAGTATGATGAAGCTCATGCAGTATTTCATTGTTACATAAAGGCACAACATACTATCTTAATCATGAGAGTAGCACAAGGAAAGACGGGAAATTCAATAATATTCACTCCAATGATAATCTTAATGATGCAAAATTTGATTGAATCATAAATTATTAATTGTCCATTTATGTTGCTAAGAAGTACACTCATGAACATGATTTTGAACAGTGTTTTACTCATATTAATTTTGCAACCAACAGGCCATTTATCTCTCCACTGCAGGAAAAATCTCCAACAGCTGGTATGTTTATTATCAAAACTTGACGTCCTTTGAACTGTGAAAAAATCGACCCATGCCACGCTTCACTTCTCACTGCTTCTGAGTTGAAATATGTGATGAGGTGATACAAAATTTTCTCTTCATGCTTTTAAAAACAAGCGCACCAAAAGCCTATGAAAATATAAAAATCTATGAAAATCTATGAAAACGCTGTTCAACCCAGAGGTTTTWAAAAAAATCCTCACCTTCAATGCCTTCAATATTTTTCTTGGCTCTTCCTGAGTTAAGGTCATTAACTCTGGCCCTTCGCGAAGAGAAATTTTGTAACACAGAATCACATATTTCACGGCATGAGCCGTGAACATTGTGTGGGTCAATTTTTTCACAGTTCAAATGATGTCCAGTTTTGATAGTATTTTTTTTTTTGATCATCTTGTTGGTTTATAATACATTTTTTACCACAACTGTAAATTTTCTCGCGCGCTGATTGGTTAAAAAACGTCGTAAATAAGAGGCCATACCAACAAATGGCATCATGCAAGATTTCGTGCAGTCTATTTCCTAGAGTTTTGTGAGTTTTGTAGTAAAAAACAAATTTACGATGGTTTAAACCATCGTAAATTTGTTAATGAACCCCTCTTTACTGACACCCACTATAAGTGACACTAGAGAAAAGCGTTTGCACATGGGTGCCTTTCAGCATGTTTTCTAAGAATTTAGGAAAGTTTTAAGTGGGAAAATAAATGTTTTTATTACACATTTAGGGTCGATATCTGCGTAATAAAGGCCATAAATAAAAACCATATCAGTGAAGTGATGCGATATCACTTCACATTAAACTAGAAACTGTACATTTTGTCCTTTAATCAACTCTCAATGTGTAATAAACAAATTATTTCATGTTAAGAGCCTGATGTCTTTATTCACTCATGTTCCATATCATATCACTTGCTCACAGACTCGCTTATTCGCGATACCATATGGAAACTTGTGAATAAAAAACAATATCAAGATAATCTCTATGTTGTATTCATATATAGGTAAACAAAAAAATTGCAAATATACTTTTGTGAGACCAAGATACTGTATTTATAAAAAACACAATATGAAAGAATTAGCCTTTTAAAAGTTTCAAGTTTCTTGCAGATCAAAGTAGCACAAAATCAACATCATCCTTTTATGGTGCCGACTCTCCAGCCTTCCATGGAAGGTATGTTATTATGGTATAGTAGTACTAACTACTATAAAAACAAAATTGATATAAATTTTTAAAAACTTTTAAACAAGATTGATAATATTATAGTGTTAATATTACAAACCCAACACTGAAAGACTCCAATTCCATGTATGAGTTACCCTTGAGGTCATTAAATAGGCCTATTTTCTGTTCGATAAACAGGATGCATTGCACCATATCTATGAAAACGTCTTTTATTAGATAACTTTTGAATTTGTAAAATGTGAATATGTAATACTCATGAATAACAAATATTTGGTTACTGTGATGATTCTATAGGAAAACAATTGGATTGCCAAAAAATTACAGGCAAAGACCACAACTATCAAGAGACTCCAACAGCTTTTCCTTTAAAGCAAGTGTAAAGAAGCCAGTGTTTGCATCAAATGAAGTCCAACTTACTGGGTAAGAAGACATTGAAGCATTCTTTTATCAGGGAATCTGACTGGTTGCAGGGRAAAAACGCAAATTGTGCTGGAATTGTGATTAATGCCTGATTATTTAAAAGTTATTCATCATTGCCTGGTGTGCCATCTTGCTGTCTTTTTCTAATTGTTTTATTTTGGATTCCTTCAAAATATTTAATGCCCTCTCTAGCTAGTTTTTAGAAGTAGATATTGTTGTCATGTTTTTACCCACCCACCCCGAGGCTGTTGGTTTAGACTCTCCTTCTGGGCCCAGTTGTACGAAGCCTGGATAGTGCTATCCACCGGTAAAATCCTTATCCAGTGGATAAGTTGATGCTGTTATCCAAAAAATTTATCCACTGGATAAGATTTATCTGTTGGATGGCGCTATCCAGGCTTTGTACAACCAGGCCCTGGTGTTTGAATAAACCTCGTTTATATAACCATTGTTTATTTCTTCTGTCATTCCTTTATGGATACCGTATGTTGACTTTTTTTCCATTTTCCTATTTTGTTTTTTGGTCCTCAGCTTCTCAAATTTAGGTAATACTTGCTACATGAATGCCATTTTGCAGTCACTTCTTGGTATTGACCCATTTGCTCAGGACCTCTGCAACAGGAAACTCCTGGATAAAATACCCATGCAATGCCTTTACAAGTAAGCTGTAACTTACCTTGTCAAATTGCCTAAGGGCAAGGCAGTAACAAGCATTAAAAAAACTGGGAGGGGTACATAGTCACTTAATATGTGATCACAAAGAATGAATATGTATATAATTCTATAGGTATGTTACTTTTAGCTGGTATTACAGTTGAGCTCACAATGGGGCATTCTTTTGTTTTAAGAATCATACAAGTGAGGATAACAGGTCAATACAATGCTTTATGTTTCATTTGCATCTCCCTTGCATGCATCCATAATATCAGCTATTTGTTACTTTACTGGGAAAAATTAGGGGGCACACCCCTTGCTCCAAGCGGGGGGGGGGGGGGTACTACTACCCCAACTTGGGTAGGGGTGTGCCGCCAGGACCTCAAAACCCTGATCCTATCCCAGACCTAAAATTTTGATTTTACATACCCTACCCCAGACTAAAACTAAGAATTGTACACCCTATCCCAGACTAAAAGACGGAAAAGACGGTTTTTCAATAGATTGCAATTAATATTTACTAACGTTTTTATTGTTTTTGTGCCGGCAGAAAGCGTACCCTATTCGACAGACAAAAATGACGAAATCGTTAACCCTATCCCAGACTAAAATGATACCCTATCCCAGACAAAATGTCCAAAAATGATACCCTACCCCAGACCCAAAAGCCGAAAAACCATACCCTATAGGGCGGCACATACCCATATAGCAAATATAGGGGAGTACACCCCCCCCCCCCCAAGCCCCTGGCTACTGGGCGCTACAGCCTTGAAGAGCTGCATAACATGTAAGATGCTTCCGACAAAGTTTCATAAATGATAGTAACAAGATGCCTGTGCCTAACTTCAGTCTGTAATTGAAACTCTTCTCTACAGATGTACATATGGATTACTTGCTTGCAAGAAAAATAGTTGCCAACAAGATCTCCAAAGTTTACACCTCAAGAAATTTAAGAAGACCATTTCACAAGCTGCAACAAGATTCTCTGGACATTTACAACATGTAAGTTAAAGGAAATATCTTTTGGAAACCTTACATCATGCTCATACATTTAAAAGCATTAAAAGAATTGGTTGCCCATTGGCAGATGCATGGTAATGCATCAGCTGATTTTTGGTTGACAATTAAACAATTGTTGCCTAACATTTGGCCGATTATTGACTGATGATTAGCCAGCAGTTAGTTTATTGTCAACTGACACATGTCAATTGAACACAAAGTATCATGATTATAAATCCACCGACAGCAAGACTTGAATAAGAACTTAATAAAGAAATTTTAAAGAGAGAATTTTAAGTATGAATTTTAAGTGACTGCCATTGACTAGATGGTCCATGGGGGGTGGGGGGGGGGGGCACCCATTGGAAGATGCTAAGCAGTGCATCAGCTGACTGATGGCTGATTGTTGGCTGATATTCCATTAAGCTTTAGCCAATGATCATTAGAATATTGACCAATAATTGGCCAACAGTCAATCAACTAGTGTCTACTGGTCATAAAGTATCATCATGGTCATACAACACAGCAAGACTCAATCCATGGAACATCTATCTTTGTGTCTCAAATCTATAAACCACTCTTTTTCCTGTAGGACGCACATGAATTTCTTTGTCAAGTACTTGATCAACTCAAAGATGATGTAAATGCCTTAGAACCMAAATCTGAGTCTGACAGTACTATTGAAAGTCCTGCTAAAGAGGTAAGCTTCTAGATACTTGCCCTTTCTATTGTTTAGTTCCAAAAAATTACCCCACCATGGAAGAAATTAAAAAATTCTGAAGGGGAAGGGGGTCAGATAAGAGCAAAACTACACACTTTGTATGGAAGAAAATTGGAAGTTCCTGGGGGTTTGGGGTCCTTTCACAAATTCCCTCCATGGTGAGGGTATTGACAGTTTCTGGAACTACACATTTGCTACTTTTGTTTCAGTTTTCTTTTCCTGTACTCTCAGGTTTCCATTAACTTCCCTTAGGATAACTTGAAAACCTCTAGATTTTCTAAGCCTTAAGAGCAAAAAGATGTTTATGAAAAAAATAATGAATTTCTGATGAATTTTTTAAATGTTATTTTTCTTATCAATTTTTACTTGTTTGCTTGTCAGGAAATCAGTAATCAGTGTCCAGTGAGAAGAACCTTTGAATGTGGTGTGATGCATACAATCACCTGTAAAGGGTAAACAACACCAAAATATTATTAACAACACAAAAAACAATACTTATTTCACACTTTGAATCCACTCAAGAATGCTAAATGGTGCTTTCTTTGAGCCTGACTTTCATTGGATGTACGTAGTTTATAATCTTTGAATTTCACACTATTTCAGCTGTGGGGAAAGTTTGAATAAAGAAGAAATCCACCATGTATTTTCACTGGATCTGCCCACAATGTATGTAGTAATAGATAATGACAGAGGTTTCATTAAGAGTTGCGGATCAGAGAATTGGTTTTGGTAAATGAGCAACATTCTCTGGCTTAAACTACCATTAATTGGCTTAGTAATTTGTAAAATCTTCACTTAGACTCTCTGGGTAGTTCATGACCTTCTCCCTATCATGAATCAAGTGTTCCTTTGATAGAAAACCAAGAGGTAATAAAACCTATTTGACTACATACACAAATTACTAAGGGTACTAAGCACAAACCAATACAAAGGAAACCTTCTGATGCTTTTAATCCCAATTCCAACGTACTTCTGAGGGGGGGAGGGTGGGGGACAATTCCAACTCCGTTTTCTGATTTTCACTACATTTTCTGATTTTTTCCAAGCTGCTTCTTGCTTTTAAAACTGGCTTTTAAAATTTAAAAATAAAATTTGGTGACAATGTGAATTTTTAACATATTCAAAAGTTTGACCAATATTGACTCATTGTACCACTTAAATTTTCACAGGTCATCAGATGGAAATGTGTCCCAAGTAATGAAAAAATTATCAATAGACAAGTTAATTCAAGATTATTTTGAGGTAATATTCATAAAGACTAACAAAATAATTATGAATCATTGGGGCTGCTTACCATTTACTCTGCCGAAAAAAACCTAGAAATATTGGAAAAGTGAATATTACACATCACTTCACGTAGTCTCCTCCATCATAGGTTTGGAAACTATTGACAAAGGCTGCAAAGGAGATTACACTTCAAGGGAAAATCCAGGAAACTCATTCTTGCATTCATTCTTCCAGTAATCCACTTTTTATCTTTTTTTTCTTCCATCCATTCAACAGAAGTTGAGATTTCCCATTTTTCAGTTGGTAGTCTTATATTAATATTTCTATTTTACCACCCTCACTACCAGTGAGGGGCTCTTCTTCGATTCCTGATTATCAAATTTGTGTTTTTTAGTTTGTGTTTTTAGTATCTTCCATCTGATCTGAGAAAAAATAACAGCCAATCAGAATCTAGAAAATTTGCAAAACTGATGTGTCTTTGGGAAGTACCGGTGGCGTGCGCTGGTAATGCACCGCCTCTCACCAATGCGGCCTGATTTCGAGTCCTGCTGATCTCGATGTCGTATATGAGTAGAGTTGTTTGTTGGTTCTTTCCTGTGCTTGGAGGGTTTTTCTCCGGGTTCTCCGGTTTTCCTCCCTCCTCAAAAATCAACTTCTAAATTCTAATTTGATCTTTGGGCTTTCACTTAGTTTGGAGCCTAGCTCTGTTGTGATTGTCCCACACTGTGATACAACAGCGAAAAGCTTTGTAGATTTTTTTTTTAGATTTTTTTTCTCTTAAAATTATGGATTTCCAGGGCACCAAGTGGGGAGAATAGAGAGTTTTAGATTTACGTTCACGGCAAACGTGAAACGTCAGTTGACCAGTGAAAAATTATTTTAAATAGCGGAGAAAGAATCGCAAAAAAGTTTAAGTAGTAGAAAAACAGAAGAATATTTGTGTGTAGTGAGAAAGTTTGTAAAACGTCAAGTAAAATACAGGAAAAAGATGAAAACGTGGTCACGTTTGCCGTTTGTTTTTTTTTTTAGTTTTTACTGGTCAATTTTCGCAAACTTCATGACAACTCAGTTTTGCAGTGATGTCATATCTAAGTCACTATTACAGATCAGGTGGTTGTGTTTGTTTATTTTAATTTCCATGTAATTCTTCATCTAACAGGAAGAGGAACTTGAATATTGCTGTGAAGAATGCGGCTGTAAGGAAGCCGTTATCTCTCACACCTTCAGCAGATTACCAAGGTAAGATTGAAAGTGAATGGGATGAGACTTGAAAATTAGTGTACCATTTAAAAAAAATGTGCAAGTCAAAGCCCCCCCTCCCCCCTGATTGCCTAGTACCCCCCTGATTGCCTAGTAGATGAACAATGTCCTCATATAAACTCTTTTTTCAGGGTTCTTATTCTACATCTCAAACGATATGACTTCAATACCTATACTGATAAACACGCTAAGAAACAAAATGACATACAGATTAACAGATTCATAGACATTGGTAAGTCAAAGCATTTGGAAAAACTTTACCAAACTGTAGTATGTTTAGAAAGCAGTGGTTGTGTGCACTAATATTGCGCTACAGGCTCGCATCTTAGTCCAGAACTGGACCCACTAATTATTTTTAGTAAAAATACACAGGTGATAATAGAAAATCTCGCGCGCTTATTGGTCAAGAAACTCACACTATCACACGATAAACACCTCCAGCGATAGTCCAAAATGGCGGCCAGCCGCTTTGTTGCTGTTACCGGAAAAAAATGTCTTTTATCTTCTTTTTTTTCCTTTTTTTGAAAGAATTACCTGTGTATTTATACTAAAACAATTATTCACCTCAGGCTCGTAGACTCGCGTCTCGGTAAATATTCCCCGATATTCACTTCGCCATCGGCGAATAATTGTTAAATATTTCAAAAATAAAAKAAAATATCAAGCGCGCAAAGAAAACTAAGCTATTAGCTACATTGCCAATCAACGGCACTGGAATGTGTGTTGATACAGGGTGTGACCACAGACAATTCTTCTCTTACAGACCAGCCTGATGATGCTTCTTGAAGTAAGGGAATTAAGCTTAAACTTATTTGAAATTCTTTTTTACTTAGGTAAACTTTGCAACAGCAAGACAATGCCCCCTTTGGACTTCAAGGTCGAAAAAGTAAAATTGTAAGTGTCAACCTAGTGATTTGTTCTAGGCAACTGAGAAGTATAGGTGGTGCGCGCTGCTAACCAGGTACTTTAAGGTTTGCAAAATCTGTGACGGCGACGTCTACCGGAAGTGTAAATAACTTCATTTTATGGTTTCGCGCCCTCAATTTCTTTCTTCCCTGTGGAGGAGTTGACTTTACTGACAATGTTTTGAATAAAATCTCCAATGAACAGAACCCCAAAGAGAAATTATTTACACTTCCGGTTGACGTCGCCGTCGTAGATCTTGCAAATCTTCAAGTCCCTAATGAGCTGTCTTTAACCGCTGTAGTCTTAGATTTCAATCCTCAGACCTGCCATCACATAAGATTGCGTGCGCATCCAACTTAACGGGCCTCAAAACTGAAAAACGCAAATTCAGTAAAATTGAAAGGACATTTTTATTTTTAAAGAGGAGAATAATCGATTTTATGAATTCTTATCGAAAACAATTTTATAGCAATGCATGATAATATTTGTGTCAAGCATTCCCAAGAGAGTTTGAAGACAAAAACATGGTGGCCATTGTGGTGCCGTTAACATTGGATGCTAATGAGAAATCTTTTGTTAAATGGCACCAACATGGCCGCGATGACGTAACGTGCGATCGAAAAATAGATTGATGGATGACATGTGCTAGCTTTGGGCCTAATTGCTGTTGTGGTGTCCCTGGTCCATGGGAAATAAATCATAAATCCAATTCCTTGAATGGTCTGTGTTTATTTGTTTGTTTGTTCAGGAGTCCAGTCAAAACATCGCGGTTGGTCAAGCGTCCTCCACCAGATTCTCAATCAGATGACGATTTTGTTTCCTCTACCACCCCCACAGTAAGACGAAAACTACATCAAGAGTTTAACACCACCCCAAGGTATATTAGGTTTGTTTAGTAAGGTAGAATAATTTAAAATTCAATTTCATTCGGGCTTACAGTCCAAGTTGTAGCCGCGTCGCTCCCACTCCTAACATCATGGTAAAAGTCGGTAAATTGGATCAAAACACTAGATCAAGCGAAATATTTTAATATGAGTCGATTACCACATTCATGTAGGATAGATTTCGATAGACTAGAAACTTCCAATAGTTTTTGAGGCCTGCACTAACGGCGCATTTAGTAAACGACTTGAAACTTTAAACACAACTACTTTTAGCATGCCGGACCACGATAAAACATCGCTCGGCTGCTATGGCGTGAGACGATTGAACGCCGATACAGTCAATTCAAAAAATGTTGTCGTCGACCAACTCTAGCCTACGCGTCTGGACCGAAAGGAACTCTGGGTAGTACTCATTGAAGCCGAGTTGACTCCATAATTTTATCTGACTAGTTATGCCTGGTTTACAGCACGAACCTTCGTAGGCGAGCGGGAAGTGTTGAAGGAGACGTTTTTTTAATGTCTTCATATTTTCGAAATTGTGAACTGAATCATAACTACTTTGTTTTTCTTTCCCTAAACCCAAAGACATGCATTTGTGGATGGTTTCTCGCCACTATTATCTTATTACTAGCGGGAACAATTAATTCAGAATGAATATTTAACCGCTTCAGTGGTTTTTACCCATATTCCTTTCGGTCTAGTCGCGTAGGCTTGAGCTGGTCGACGACAACGTTTTTTGAATTGACTGTATATTGGTGTGCTCCGCAGCACAGAATGGTGTAACTTTACTTTGCACGTAGTTTTGTTACAGTTAAAGTTGCTTTTTGACATCCACCTAATATGTGATCACATCGCGTGTGGGGGCATTAAATACAGCTATTTCAAAAAAGGTTGGTGATGGTCTTGTCGCATGTTCCATGTTGCATTCCGAAGCTTCAACTGCACTATGGGCCATGTGAATAACATCAGCGAAGGGTCAAAACAATGTGAAATTTTTCTAAACTTTGTCTGCACGTTTTTCTGGCATAATGGTTTTTTTYCCAAATATGAATATTATACATCATTTCAAACGTAGTAAGCAACATGCAACAACCTTGTTCACCAACGTCTTTTGAAATAGCTGCATATAATATGAATGTTTTTACCTTTTATTTAGTTGTTTTTCTTGAGATTTAATGAATTCGATTTCTTTGACAGAAAAAGAAAAGTAGAAATGATCGAAGGTGAACCTACTGACCATAAAGATGACACCAGAAATGAACGAAAACACGCTGCGAACGATACCAACAAGGAAGCAGAAGAACCTTCCAAGTCTTCAGACTTCCCATTGATCGACGATTTTGACGACATCGATAACACTCCCCTTGAAATTGAAACTTCTAATTCCGACAATGTGGTGGACCTTGTCAATATGTCTGAACAGCAACAGATTGAATGGGCCAAGCTGGAGAGCTTGAGGTCTACCAGTAGTAATGGGAACTACGAGGATATTGAATGCAAAAAGACTGAAGGCACAAGCGAGTTCAATAATTCTTCGAAGATATCAACACAGTCTGCCACATCAGGAAAAATAAACGTAAATGTGGGAAATAAGAATTTTGGGACAGCTGATATAAATGGTGATATAGGGGATATGGACGTAGATATGGACTGCTCAGATGAAGATTTGCTAACAGTGTATGATGACACTCAACGGCAAGACGGTATTAGTAAAGATGAGGAGAGACAAGACTCAGAGGTTCATGGGTTAAAAGGTGGTGCGCGAATAGGAGATACTAGAGTAAGCGCACCAGTTCGTCAAGTGTCATATATAAGCGATGATAGCGACCAGAGTGGCTTGGATACTAGCAAGAAAAACTCTACCACATCTACCGGTAAAACCTACCTTTTAAACAGTAGTGATAGCTCTGATACCTCTTTTGATGAGGAGGGAAGGAAACGTTCAAAGGATAACAGTCTCTGCTCACTTATGGATCGGCGGCCTGTTTTGAGCAAGTTTTCCGGCGGTTTGTTAATAGAAAGCGATTCCAATGAAAGCACTTCGAGGAAAAATTCAAGAGATTCTTTTAAAGAGAAGCACTTCGTCAAATCTATTGCTAGTCCTTTCAATGCAAAGTTCCAACCTTCATTTAAGTACGGCAAAAGTGATTTTTCTTCACCCAAGCATGCTGTAAAAAGTAGTCCTTCCTCTCACTTCAACCGCTCACCACATACTGCGAGTAAGCCTATGAAGAGCTACAGCAGGACAGAAGTACAGAATTACAGGACGAAGAGGGATGTGGTACAGCCGGATTTTGATGAAGAAGATGTTGAAAAAGCTATACGAAGAAGCCTACATGATCAGGTTTGTATCTTGTTATGGGTCAATTAGGATTCACTCAGAGAAAGTTGCCTGGAAAAGGTACGAAATGTTTTCAAAACAACTGTCCTATTCGTAGCCCCTCTTCTCCTTTTCCATCAACAATACCTAAATCTACACATGGTTATCAGATTTTTTCCTGGGGTAACAATACTTTAAGGACTGCCCCTCCTCCCTCACCTCCTTTACCATGCATCCCTTCCCATGCGAAAAGGATAAAAGATGTGACCTATTTGTAGCCACTCTTCTCCTTTTCCATCAACAATACCTAAATGTATACATATGGTTATCAGATTTTTTCCTGTGGTAACAATACTTTAAGGACTGCCCCTCCTCCCTCACCTCCTTTACTATGCATCCCTTCCCATGAGAAAAGGATAAAAGATGTTACTGCCGTGCCACATTGGTTGTCATGACAAAAACCAGCACCAAGACCAACACTTGTGATATTCAACCAAAATGGCGGCTATGACGTCACATGGTCCCCAAGATACCAGTTATCTTTTACCRAGGTACATTTTTACGTCTTCCACGTGCACTTATCAGTGATTTGTTTCTGTTTGTCTTTTCTAAGGTACCAAGCAGCGATGACGAACAAGTCAAGAAAGCAATAGAGCTAAGCATTCAAGGTATTCTTCTTCTTTCTTCACATTGAAAAATACACCCAAGCCGTCCAATAATATTCCGAGTGTAACATCTGTCTTGCGTGCAGCCTAAAATAAATATACAGACCAGTAGAAGGAATATACACAGGAGCATGCAAGATATTTTGAAAGTGTTCTAAATAGCTTTCAAACTCACCAGTGCAAGATTTCAGTCTCCATTGTGCTTGGTCATTTTATCAGAATTTAATGTTACGTCTGTCTGTTTGTTTAGAGTCCAGGATGGATTACTGTCAGGATCAACAAGATGATTCCAATGATGAAAAAGTACACAGTGTTCGCCAGACAAAAAGAGCGCTCTCTCCGCACCACGATTTCCAGAATAACTCCATAGACTCAGGCTACCAGGTTAGAGCTTAGCTATTTTGCAAACGTTTTTACAGTGATAATCTATTTTATCTTTTACTCCGACAAAGGAGTAATGTCCGAAAGGTCAATACATGACCAAAAGTTTTTTAAAGGGTGTTTTAAAAAGTTTCCTTCTCATATATGTCAGCGGAATTTATTTGATCTGTTTTTGTTCTCTCCCTTGCCACGAGAGTTTTCTCCGGGTTTTCCTTACTTCCTCACTCCGTGAAAATTAACATGTGAGATGAGTGTGACCAAATTCACTTAGGCGTAATATTTTCCCAATTCAGATCAGATCACGTGCCATTCCCTAGAATATCATTTCTTTGTTTAACTGTTGTACATGAGAAGACACTTGAATATAAATATAATTGAAACAAAAAATGTTATTCTTGAGGGAATGATATGAAATGGGAAAACATTACGCCCAGGTGGAATTGGACCATTACGAGTGTAGTGGTAGTGCGTGCGGAGCGACCCTCACGGAAGAGCTTCTTACAGGGAGTAAGGGTTGACAAATATGTTTGTATGAAATATGAATAGTCCCCTTCACAGTTCCCTGCGCCCTCTTGAAAGGTAGCCGTGCCTTTGCATCGAAGCGAGACGAACGGTGAGCTTGCAGTGATAGAGACCTTTTTTTAACACCTCGGACAATTATTCACATGTCTCTATCATTGCAAGCTCACCGTTCGTCTCGCTTCGATGCAAAGGCATGGCTACCTTTCAAGATGGCTTAGGTAACTGTGAAGGGGAATATTCATTCACTTGTTATTTGTTGTTAGGGTGACGAGGATCATGTGTCTTACCCTTATCGTCTAGTCAGTGTGGTTAGTCATCTTGGAGACAAATCTTTTGCAGGTATATAGTACACCATTTTGCTGTCTATCCTTCTACGAAATTATTTAGTCAGAGGCTTGCTTCAACACAGTCTAGATGATATATGGAATGAAGGATGTGCAGAACGTATGACATCAAAAGGCTTTGCCGGCGCTGAATAATATATTCAGCTATATAGACCCCTTGCAGTACATGGGAATGCAGCTCAACCTGGAGGACATAATATGTCCTAATTCTCAGGAGATTGGAATTCTTTAGTTTTTTTCCCCCAGATCGATCTGCTTTGACGTTACATGCACCCGACCTTAGTTATAGAGTAGCCGTACCGTAATTTGCTGTAAACGTCCCCATACGAATTGCAAGAAAAGAATGYCATTATGTCATAGACCTTTTCTGAGACATTGAACGTGGTGCATTGTGGTCTAGCTTCGGTACAAACATCTTTTGTTAATCATGCCTTATATGGTGTTGTTTGAACCGAAGCTAGACCACAATGCATCCTGTTACTCAGAAAAGGCCTATTGCCATTATATCACCATCAGTCATTATTCAGCGTGTTGCGTATTAGTATGCAATTGACGGATGCAAGCATCCCCAAGAGAGTGGAAAAAAACAACGAAAAAACATGGTGGTCATTTTGGTGCCGTTAACAATTTATGCTAATAAGAAATCTTTTGTTAAATGACACCAACGCTCCCCCGAGAGGCCGCGATGACGTAAACTACAATCGTTAACTTTTGACGGATATATGGTATGCACTCTATAACGAGATTTTAAAAAATTCCTGAATTTTGTTTCTGTTTTGTTATGCTCTAGGACACTACATCAGTGACGTGTATGACTGTGCCAAGGACGAGTGGACTAGCTATGATGACTTGAATGCCATCAAGATCGATGAACACCGAGTACGTTATGGACGCTCTAGACAGGGATACATATTTTTTTATTTGCACAAACAATGCGTCGAGGCTGTCAAAGGCTAACTACCAGACTCGTAAAAATCTATTTAAAAAAATTACTATCCATGAACCCTGTTCTGGTTTCTTTAACTATTGAAGATTTCTTAGGAGTGGAGCGTACAATTCCTTCAAACACTCAATTGGTTTTTCAATCAAAGGATTATCGTTGGAGAGTGTAGGTTTCCAAGTGTTTGATTGTCTCTTCGTTAAAAGCCATGAAATTTTCATGTTACAAAAAAATCTGCTCCGTTTTGAATGAATTTAGYGTATTTTTATTTTAGAGGTTTTTTGGAGGATTTGAAGTTTTCGTAAAGTGGGAAAAATTGTACAAATATGTGAATAAATTTCGAATGGTTCAGTATGAGAAATTGCAAATTTAATGTCACACAAATTGTCTTTTTAGACTATTATTTGGAAAATAAAGAATGAATGAATGAGTTTCTATTTGATTATTCCAAATAACTATTTAGGCTCCAAGTAATTGCTGGGTAAGTTTTGTTACCTTCGTTTTTGCACTGATGTAGCATGCTACACGGTGTATGAATAGGAATCATAGTAACCACACCAAACTAAATTACTGTGATACAAGAATTTCTGCACCATTTTATACGTATTTCATGTGTGGCAGAAGCAAAAAATCTTTGGGGGGTACTGCAAAAATCTTTGGGGGCACTGAAGATTATATTTAAYGMTATGTGATAATGACAATGTTTTGTTTGATTGCAGACGCATGCACCGTAAAACAATGACTAAGAACCAACATTTTGTGGGGGGGCATGTGCCCCCTGGTTCCGCCGCCCCTGTATTTACACAAGTTGCATAGATTCTTAGTACACTATTAGCTTGAATTCAATTTGGAACGTGTTGTTGAATCCACAAACCTTTTAGCGCAGCATTTTACCTGACATCAGTTTTTTGCACGTGGGTTCAATACTCACTTGCCAATCAATCTTTGTATTTACAGATACTACAGTGCTAGCAGCAAGGAGCCTCAACTATTGAGGCTGGTGTATTGGGGCTAAATACTGTTAATATTTTCATACCAGATATCTTGAGTGATTCCAAGAGTTCTTAAACTCTAATTTTCCCTTTTTCATCAGCCATATTTTCAGTTTCCAGTTGTTAATAGCCATCAGAAATAGTCATCCCTCTGTATGTTTATGTGCATTGTGAACCAATTTCCTTATGAAGAGATAACTAGCTAAAAACTAGTGTGAGCTGTGTCAGTGTTTCTAATGAAACAGCAATGATAATATGGTAAATTATACACCGTGAAAAGATGAAAAAGTAAAAGACGAAGGACTAGCATCCGAAACGTCAGTTTTTTCATCTTTTCATGATGTAAAATTTACCCTTTCATCATTACAACTTCCTTATGATTCTTTGTTCTGAATGTCCATATTATTTTTGCCTTTTCTTTTTATGGCACGTTGAAGAACTTGATGCCATCATAATGTAATGCAGGTTTGCAAATCCTTCTTAGACCACTACCAATGAATGGAACTCTTTTTTTCCCCAGTTTATTCACCTACTGTTTTTACATCTCTGTTATCAATGTAAAGTTGATTTTAAATGACTTTCAAAAAAGAGTCAAACTGAACTAAGATAGGTTGGTGCAAGATTGATGCATCATCAGCGATGTTTAGGTTGGTGCAAGATTACTGTACATCAAAACCATTGTGTTCCTTGTACACCATATCTATATCTAGCATTTTACCAAAATGCTTGGGAATTCAATCAAAATAGGCAGCGAGTTCATGTAAAATACCCAGCAAGAATTGATGGCTGCCGGATCCTACTGAAAAGCCCGAATCCCCAACCCTAAACTGCTTTCGAAGTTGGGTATCTAGAACCATCACCTTGGCAAAAAAACTTAGATAAAAACAGTGGTACCTCTATTAAGTGGATACCTTTAGGGAGGGGTCTGCTTTATACAGTTATCACTGTAGAATACTAATCTTATCAGATCAGTTCAACAGTTCTTATATTTATGTGGTTAGTAGTAACTCTACATAGACTTTGTAGGTGTATATTAAAATGGGCAAATATATTTAGAGGAATTGTAATAAATTTAGCAAATTGGTAGAACACTGTATAAAGAAATTATTTGAACTATCACTTGAGGAGTGACCACTTAAGTTGATCTTTGGCTGTCTGGATGACTTGTGCTACAGTCTGTTCTGTAATTGGTACATCATCCATCTGGTAAAGAAACAAAATGAATGCATGATAAATATGGTCCTTTTTCTAAGCTGCCTGTATGGTAAGTAATAATTGTAACGAAAATGTAAATCAACATTAATTAGAGAGGGCGACAATATGCAACTGAAAACCTTTTGGCCCCCATCTTTACAGGAGTATGGGGCTGCCATCGGAGCCACGCCAAAGGTCTAACCATTTGCCGATACTTTTAGTGCAAAGGTATCACCTACTCAGGTATTTTAAGACCCTAAGTGTTGGTCCAGCCAGGAATTGAACTCATGACCTCCTGCACAACAGGGCAGTACCCCAACCACCTAAGCCAACCACCTGGTTATTAAGGACTTCACTAGGTACATAGTGGAGTTTACATATACCAGCAACAGTCACACTGATTAATTCAGCAGTGGTATTAATGGGTTCACAACGTCAGGCTTAGCTACATGTACCTATTATTAACAATAAAAAATGGAAATAATAATCAGGATACTCACCTTCATTGCTACTTGTTGAACTATTGCTGATGAATCTGCCTCAAGAATAACCCTAGAAGATAATTATTGTAAAAAGCCATTTAAACTGTCAATTACCCAGCTAAATATCCATGCAATTGGAAAATGGAAACATTGATTTTGATACGTGTGAACCATTAAAGACCCAAAACAATAAACCTCTTTGATTTGGGTACAATAGACCTCAGCTCAGCGTAATGTTGTCCCATTTCAGACCACGTGCCATTCCCTTGAGAATAATATTCTTTGTTTGAGTTGTATCCATATTCATGTGTCTTCTCATGTTTAACGGAGCGCAAACCTTAAACAAAGAAATGATACTCTAGGGAATGACACCTGGTTTGAAATGGGAAAACATTATGTCAGAGCCGAGGAGGTCTATTTTTTTCCCGTTTAAAACAAAGTTCATTTCTCTTGTAATGATAATAATTATAGTATAGATGTCCACCACCATGGTTAGTTCTATTGAATACTCACCCTCCATCTACAATCTCATCCACTGCTAACAATACACCATCTAAGTTCTCCATCAAAGTTCTTTTTTCTACATTTTTTCTTAACATCATGCTTACTGCATCAAAGAATGCATTCAAAACACTAACTAGAATAAGCTGGAGAAAAACAAAAAATAATTAAAATAATTTTTGCACCTTGTTGGGCTTGATCAGAACTTTAGCCCTACAAATTTTCAATGTTGTGTACTAATGTGGCTGTAAGCAATTGCCCCTCAAACTTCAAAAAGGCAATAAAGGACTACCTTTGAAGTACAATAATTACCTCATTCTCATTGGAAGATCCCATGACGTAGAAGTACAAATCTACACTACTTCTGTATACACAGGTCATTCCTTCCAACATGATAATCTCGGCTACAAAATAAGATGAAAAACTATTAACAAATTATTGATATATTGCTTTACTTCAAAAATCAACTAATTTCTCCTTTTGTTTTAAGATATATTGAATCTCTCTATAAATGACAAGGAAATCCCAAGCATCTCTAGTCAAGAGTGGATATCTTCACAGTAGGTAAAAGATAGAGGGGGGGGGGGGGGGGGGGGTAGGGTTACGGATCATATTTCATGGAAAATAAAACTGGCGAATCATGTTTCATGAAATATTGAAAATGGCCATTTCATGTTGCAAAAAAAGATAAAAACAGTCAAATCTCATTTTACGAAATCACTCTCTTACGGATACCCACCCTGAACCTTAAGAGGTGTTGGCATATTCACTCTTTTCTATCTTTTTTTGATCTTTCGTTTTCTCCCAAGGTACAAAGCAGTTTAGCCTTAAATTCGCCCAACATTCAATGCTTTCATATGCATCAAAAGTGAACGCCCAAGTCATCTACCGGGGATAGGGGTMGGGTAGAACTTTTGGATTTGATGCCTTATATTATAAACAAGTGATGGTTACCATTGGCTCTGTGGGTTTTATTGAAAAGGTTCTTCTCAAACTCCTTCTGTTCTTTTGCTGTAGGGTATGTGTCATCATAATACTAAAAAACAAAAGAATTAGAAATTTTAGTCTCTTTAGTAAAACCTTATTAGACAGAAATCTCAACATAGTGTTTCTTGTGCATGTTGAAATGTAAGCCTTGTTAATGATTTACCTTAGCCAAAACTCTTGCTCCATCATTGTCAAGGATGGCTATACCTTTGACAGTGTACAAAGAGGCTTCCTATAGACATCAAAAAACATTACAGTTACTATCAATAACGTATGTATATAAACTAAATAAGCTAAAGCCAAGTCTAATGAACAGAAGCTGTTGTAAACATCACAAGCTCAAAATATACCTCAAATTTCCGAGTTGATTTTTTATGCCAAGTAATTCAAGTTAATAAGAAGAAAAATAGAAAAGGATAATATAATTTGAGGGTTAAAAAATGGTGAAATAAAAGCGTAATAAAACAAAGATCCAAAAGAAATTTTCAAAGAACGAATGAAGACCAAAGTTAAAATGTTAAAAAAAAAAAAGTTTTTAGCAAGATTCTCACAAAAATTTCGAGCTAGCAGCATCTTAAGAGAGGTTCGATTTCAATGTTATTGTATTTTCTTAAGAAAGGTAAAAATCCTTTGTCAAAATAACGTTTAAAACACAAGAATCTTTTGACTCACCAAAACCCCGGAATCCATGTTGGATGTGGTGACGTTTCATTACAGACGCGTGGCATTATGGGATCCCTCTGTTAACACAGGGAACCCACAAAGGATTATCACTGGACCCAATTTATTTTTTACTCGCAATCCTCTGAATCTGAATGTGTAGTTCCAGAAATTATCCATACCCACCCCACAGAGGAATTTGGAATTTCCGAAGGGTGGGAAAGGGGAGGGGGGAGGGGGGGTCAGAGAAAGAACAAAAGTTACAGAGTTTGTATGGAAGAAAATTGGAATTCCCGGGGTTAGGGGGGGTTTCTTAAAAAATTCTTCTGTGGGGGTGGGGTATGAATAATTTTTGGAACTACAGAATAGTACAATGTGATAAAAAAAATTCATTCCCATGCATCTTTGTGCACCCGAGTGCAATCATTTGGATCAGAAAAATACTGAAAACTAGTCAAAGTGGGTCCAATTCTGGGCTAGATAAGAGGGGAAAGGGGGGAGATTGCTGAAAGCCACTGCAAATCCACAAAAAAAACGAGGATTTTCGAAACAACTTGAAATTAGAGTAGTGAGGGGTTATAATTTATGTAATCTTAAAACATTAGGGGTACAGTTTTAGAGAGAGGCAAATGAGCTTCACAGAAGCTGACAATCTTTTTCAATGCTTTTTTTTCTTGCACCTTTTTGGTCGTTATACCCTTGAACAACAAAATAGTCTGGCTTCATTAATCGAGACAAATGTCACAAGTTTATTGATAAATATATTATTTTTTGAAACCATTTTTACATATTTTTATAAATAATGTTGGTAGAGTGCTCACACTAAATCCGTGAAACAAATACTAATTTTTAGCACTAAATAGTGATAAACAATAGAAAACAAAGGATTCTGTATGAAATAGTACTAATTAGTACTATTTGATGTTCACRGTTTTAGTGCGTGCACTCTAATTTAATACTTTATTCAGCCATAGTTGCAATAAAAAATATTATCAAAATTATTTGAATACAGAAATCTGCAAAAAATAAAATGAAAAATAAATATCATTAGCAATGCCACTGTACTCTCTCTACTCACTACTATTATTCAGCAATCTCTGCTTACAATCAACACATACCTGACTTAGGAATATTTCTGCTGCAGATTTGATGAAGTCTTCTTTGGCTAATATTTTTCTGTCATGTCCACCTTTATACAATACCTGCATACACAGAATATAACTTAGCATTGGCCTAAATATAACTATATATTGTATTGGCAAATATTTGTCTACTGTATGTTTTGTAATTTTCTTTTTTTGCAAAGCCTTTTTGCATCTAAGTTTTCTCATGCAATATCATTCCTATTTTCAAGTCCCAAGATTTACTAGTGTTTCTGTTTTATTGTTAGCTTCTTTTGTAGCATCACATCTTTTCTGCCTGTCTTTGTACACTGATATTCTCAGAAGTGGCATTAGAATATTCAACTCTCATTATATAATTCTTTATTATTTTTAAAAAAATTGTATAACAACCTTACCTCTAATGCAGCCTTCTGAAAAGAATTGGAACTTAAAAGTGCACCAGCTTGAATTAGACTTTAGAAAATGACACAAATTGTATATTAATATAAATAAATTATTATAACAAATAATGAAAATCATAGCACAAGATCTTGATCTTATAAGCAAAATATTATTACATTATATAACATTATATACAAAATACATAATAATAAATAATATAATTACGAAATTTTATTACAATTATTATTGTTCTCAAAGTTTCCAATAAGTATGTCCATATAGTTTCTCTGAAACAGTGTCTAGATTTCTTTATGAATTCAAAATGAATCATTATTCCATTAGTACCTTATGGGGTCWGAGAGACTCGAATTTGTTACAGCTTCTTTTAAATATCGCAGACATAATTCACACAACTGCTTATCTGCTTTCCCTAGAAAAATAATATGAAATCATTAAAACTCATTAGAATACATAATTGAATATCATCTTGTATTTGTGATGCATTTTGACCAGAGTATCATTTAAAGGTTGACTTTCTAACAGTAGTTCTAATAATGGAGTGTTTACACTCAGGGTTGTAACCAGAACTTTTACAGGGAGGGTGCACAATGAATAAAATTGGACCATTGATCGTTTCTTTTAAAAAAGCAGAACCAAAAAAAAAAAAAGGTAACCGAAAGAAAGCTGAACCAAAAAAAAAAAGGTTACCAAAAAAAAAAAGGAGATGGATGAGCAGATGAGCGGACCTTAAGCTTTTATGGGGGTGCATGTGCACCCCGTGCTCCCCCCTAGTTACAGCCCTGACACTTTACCATTCAGGGTGCCACAGGGGTTGTATGTGTGATTCAGGCTAAAACAAACTGTGTATGATAAGTGAAAATAGCAAAATGGAGAGCAACATTTATTAATTCCAGATTTACGATGACAGGAGATTCTTCTCTTGAAATGTGCATCATGTGATCAATGATTATATTTTGTGAAAAGTTTAAATTCAGTTAAAATTTGCGATTTGTTAATGTGCCTCAAAATTATTTGWGATGCATGAATTTTAGAATGTTTAATGTGTGAAACTTGACTAATATTATGTCATGACACATGCAAAAAAAATTGACCAACCTCTTTCATACAAATCCAGTTCACAATAAAGAGATTCAGCCAGCTTTAAAAAATCTGTTTAAAAAATCAAAGAGATAAAACTCAATACTGAGAAAAACGAATGAAATCCCTAGAATTATGACATGATATACAGTAGACTGTACCTTGATAAATCAGCAAGGATAATACTCCTCTTCTAAATATTGAAAATCTTACGACTTCATAGTCAAAGCATGTGATCCGTTTGATTAGTGGTTCAACTTCATTGCTTGAAAGATCTCTAAGTAATCAAAAGTAAATGATAAATAACTACATCTTTCATAACATATATGGCCTGCAAAAATTGCAACCAAATTAATCATACAGGATTATAGTCAGGCAAACATTTTGTTGGTAATCTATTAAGTTTTTTTATAACAGAAAGAATGTTTTACCTTGATAATAAGGTTAATATATCATTATATGATTTGCCCGTCAATCCTCTGAGTCCGCTGCTTCCTAAGATGCAATTAATTTTGTTATTATGAAATCTAATAAAAATCTACAGCCCTTCTCAATAGCATGCACTGAATCATACAATTTGCCTTCATGACAAAGAACATTGCAGCTGTTTGTCTCATTTTGCACTGCAATTACACCTGGGGCAGTCACCTTTTTGTGATCTGAGTAGATCATATGCATCCACAAGGTTGTCATAAAATCCAGGCTTTGAGTAAGGAACAAGACATAACTTTTGATGGGCTCTGATCAGTGCTGTGGACGTATCTGCTTGATTGTCAAAGCTAGAAAAAGTAAACAAGACAAAAAGTAAATTCAATCGATCAAAAGGCACTAGCTAGCAGTAGTCTCCTTTGTAGCCGTTCTTATTGTCGGTTAGCAGTAGAACGAGGCGTTTAGCTATGACATAAAAGAAATATTATTTAAAAAATATTACGGAGATTTATTAAAGTCAAAGTCAAAGCTAGGCCTGCCTTTAGGCGCGTATCCAAGGATACCAAACAAATGCGAGGTTATGCGAACTTCAAAAATTATACTAGTACTTGTCAAGTTTAAGAGGTAACTTACTACTCCACTAGGAAGGCTATTGGATCTTCTGGTCTATTATCTAACAGTAGTTTCATTCCTTCTTTTATTTGTGAAGTTACGCCAGTTCGATCTGAAGATTACAAAAGTCACCAAAAGTTAAGAAAAAATGTTTGAGCTTTCAAGCTGTCAGTTTTAGATGCCCTGGTTTATGCATATGTGCAAATTTGTATCTTAAAAACAAAGGATACAGCACCGACTTATAATATTTTATACATATTAAAGTTTACTTACGAAGAAACTCCAGAGGAGAATCTGTTTTATCGATTTTTCCATCATCAAACAGATTCCCTTTGGACGACTTCTTCTCGACCGCCATTTTATTTTGACTCGCGACCGTGAGAGCCTTGGTTGAGCACAGGTAGCCCAAGACGTCGCCCAAAACGAGGTAACGGATTTTAAAAAAAAGGTTTCTAGTAAAACGTCACCAGGAGATAGCACACGGTAGTACAAACAACGACTGTAGCAAATTTTGAATCAAAATGTTGAGATTTTTTTTTTTTTCATGTGTATATTCTAACTCTTGTTGGGCTGCCTGTGGATGGAGTGGATTACCGCTGACCGATATGTACCGCGGTGTCACAGGAGTTACTGTGCAAATACTCCATTTATATCATCCATGTGTATTACCACACGAGTATAGCCCTTTAGAATGGATCCACCGGATAATGAAGACGAAGGAGTTGGAGATGAAGAACTGGTGGAAGTCGTAGATGCAGAAGACGAAGGTTTTGAAGATGATGGAGGCGGTAAGGCTATATCTTTGTTTGTTATTTTCAGGTAAAAAAGAAAATGGAAGGCGCAGCTTTCGTTTAATTCAAGACAATGTTTCACATTTATATTAAAATAAGATCAACTTCAGAAGTCGTTCTAGCATTTGTTAAAGCTGATAGAAGTTTTTATTTATGTATAGAGCTCAGCAGTTTCTCGAATTTCACATTTCTTCTCGCTTCAAATCAGCCATTCAACCTTCAATGCATTAATAACATTAACTTGGTATCAACCAGCTGAATGAGTCTTAAAGGAACAAAAACTGCCCCACCCCCCTCCCCAATGATCAAATAAACTCCAAATTTTGTATTGGGGGTGCATCCCATGAAAATTATAAAAGGATAAAAGACATGGTCACCATGTTGGATGACATGATAATTAGACAACAAGAACAAATCTTTTGTCAAAGCCGATCAACATGGCTGCTATGGCGTCAAATGCACCCCAAGAAAAGGCGACTCGCCATGGAATTCAGCTCCGTTTAAAATAGCATTATTAAAGTTTGTTGAAATGTTTGAATTCCTATATAGAAGATGATTTGGCATTTGGAATGGAAGAGATTGATATTGCTGATAATGACAGTGGTGAAGGTGACGCAGATGTGGAAATAGTGGATAATTCAGTTGTTACCTTTGCCAAACATACTGGTAATTATTTTCTTTAATATCCAACTTAAGTATCATTTTAGTATCATAGATATAAAGTTCTCTCACTGTGATTGGTCAAGTGACCAGTGATTCTGAGATGATAATCACTGCTCGAGCAGTGATTATGAGGTTTTCCAGGCTCATTGATCGTGGGGAATATTTACCTCGCCGCCCAAAGACTCACGACTTGGTAAATACTTCACCCATAATCAATTCACCTTTGGCTAATAATTTGTTAAATATACACATACACTGTACTCAGTAGAGTACAAATATCTCAGGAGTAAGCCTGGAGCAAGTACAAAATGATTTATTAAGTTATTGTGTAGCTTTAGAAATTATGCAGAAATTATCCATACCTCCTCCCCCTCCCCATGGAGAACTTTTTCAGACCCCCTCCCCCTACCCCCAGAAATTTTGTTCTTTCTCTGACCTCCCCACCCCAGAATTTCCAAGTACCTCTGTGGGGGGAGGGGGGTATGGATAATTACACATTGTGGATAAATTTACAGTACCCATTTCCAAAGTTTCTTTTAAAAACCTTTTATTTTTTATTGATACCCCAAAGCAACCTTTGACTAATGCAAGTCTTATCTTTTGTTTCTCAGCATCTGTGTTCTCAGTGTCCATTGATCCTGAGAACAGCTCTCTTGTGGCATCTGGTGGTGAAGATGACAAGGCTTATGTATGGAAAATAGCTGATGGAGAACTAGCATTTGAATGTAAAGGTGGGACCAGTTATTCCATACACCAGTCTCTGCAAAGGTCCAAGAAATAGTTAAGAAGGCTTATCCTATGATCCCTTTGTCTTTTTCTTTTCCTCCTTCTCCTCCTCCTTGTCCTTATCCCTCTCCTCTTTTTTCCTCCTTCTCGCTTTCCTTGTCCTGACCCTCCTTGTTCTCCTCCTCCTCGTTCTCTTCTTCCTCTTCCTTGTCCACCTCCTTCTCTTTGTCCTCCTTCTTCCCATCCTCCTCTTCCTCCTCAAAATTACTTTCATTTCATTTTTTCCAGGTCATAAAGATTCAGTGACATGTACTGCCTTCAGTCATGACTCTAAGTTTGTCTGTACTGGTGATATGAGTGGTGTTATCAAGGTGTGGGATACCCAGAGTGGTCAGGAAGTGTGGAACTTTGAAACTGGTGGAGATCTTGAAGTAAGTTTGTCTACTGTATGGGGAATCAATCTTTCAGTTCCTTTCATCTCTGGGCTTTCAGATCAATAATAATAATTATTTATTTATATATTATTAGTGCTATTTCCAATATGTGTCCAAGACTCAAGGGTATCCTCTAGCTCTTTATATTTCTCCCTTTGCAAAACCTAACTTGCAAAATTCAATATGTATTATATCCATGCCCTGATCGACCTATTACGCACTGGGTATATATTTTGCTAAGGATATATAATCATTTCAGTGGTTAGAATGGCACCAGTTGGCTCATGTTCTTTTGGCTGGTACAGCTGATGGTGATGTGTGGATGTGGAAGATACCAAGTGGTGACACCAAAACATTCCAGAACCATGGATGTCGAACAAGTTGTGGACTATTCATGAACGATGGTTAGCTATATAACAATATGATTGATGTAGTGTCAACTGGACAAAWGCCACAACCACATACTTACATATGATCAAACACCTGGGCTCGGTTGCATAAAACTCTCTTAAAATAAGAGCATCTGTAAGTATTGTTTCAAAACAATAGGCCATTGTACTAAGACAATACTTACAAGTGTTTTTAAGCTTTTTTATCTTAAGCGAGCTTTATGCATGTGGGCCCTGGTCACCAAAGTAAAGTTAATTGTTTTATTTTGATATAGCACAAGGAGTGGTTGCCAAATTCTCCCAAATCAGTGACTCATGTATAAAGCACTCAAAGGTGCACCCCTTACCCCCTCAAAATATCAGTGCTCCTTATTCATAGAGCTACACCAGAATAGAGAGAATTTGGACTGCTAGCTGTGAAGGCCACACACTAACGAACCGAACTACACAGGGACACCATGATTGAGCTTTGTATGCCGTAACATCCTGAAACTGTGCCATGATCTGTATTTTGTAGATTCTCACAAATGATCTCTTCTCAAATGAATTTGCTATCACAGAGATACCGCAATTGTGCTTCTTATCATTGTGCCTTGCATGCCATAACATCCTAAAACTGTGCCATGATCTGTATTTTGTACATTCTCACAAAATCCACTCTTCTCAGATGAAATTGCTAAACTTGATTCTGACCAAATTTACCCAAACAAATTGGAAAGCAAAAAAAAAATCCTACTTGGTCATTCCCCCCTCCCCCCATTTCCTGATTTATATACAGGAATAAAATTGTATAGTCTATAAGTTTGTTATTAAGTTGAATCATTCTGTGGTGATTGATGTTCTTCAGGAACAAGAGCTAGTGTTGGCTATGCTGATGGGACAATCAAAGTTTGGGATTTAAAAAAGGGAACACCAATTTTCCATTTATCAGGTAAACAGTTTTCATTGATGCACATAATTATTGTCTTTAAATGTTGCTTTTTTGTCTCAATATTTCATCTTCCCTTTACTCTGCCAATCCTTTATTAGAGACCTTTAGCATAGCATTCTTTTAGGTACTGCAAACCTCATACTGCAGTTCCACGTCGGGCATTTTCCGTCAATTTTTCAACATTTAGCAATAGGCATCATAATGAAGTCATTGCTGGAAGAGCCGTAAATTTGAATTCATTGATGCTGAATATTTTTCCGTATTTGCAGGCATGTTTCTGAGCCTGATCCCTAGTGGATAACGGTTGACATAGAAACTGATGCTGAAGGTCTCTATTGTTTCAGGTCCTCCCTCAAGCCATTAATATTGATGGTTTTCACAGCGGCCATGTTGGAGGAACTTAACAAAAGAATTGTCAATGAATTCTTTTGTTATATCCTCCAACATGGCTGCCGTGTCTTTGGTTATTTAATTCCCTTGGGAATGGTTGAAAACCATCAGTACTAAGTACGGTTTATTTGTGTTTTTACCGCATACTTCGCATACACTGATGGCGCGACGGACATGTCTTATGCCTCGATGATTTCAGGCAGTACTGTATATACCAGGCCATACAGACTCTGCTATCATTTTTTATTGAATTTATTTTCTTTTTTTAGATAGTACATGCCATAAAGGAACTGTAACCTGCATGGCTGCCCATAATTGTGATGTTCTTCTTGCAACAGGAGCTGAGGACTCATTCTGTAAACTTATTAATTCTAATACTGGCAAGGTTCGTTATGTCTATACCAAAAACTTTTTTTAATCTTAGGCAAAATATATTGTCTTATGCCTTATACATTTCTACAGTACACCATCCTTTATTCTCTGCAGTTTATTTGGTGAAAACATTATAAATCATCAGTTTATTCCTCTGTTACAGTAAGCACTCTGTGTATTTGAGCTCAATGCTTCATTTTAGAGGGTTTTAAACATAATAATGACTTCACAAAACTTGAAGTGTTCACAGTTTGAGTGTCCTCACTGTAAAATGCCTATGTTGTATTCTTAAATTTATAGCTAATAAATTCTTCCTTGTCGTAGGTGCTTGCAACACTTAATGCAGGATTTCCAGAACCACAAGAAGAGAATCCACCATCCATTGAAGCTGTTTCGTTTTCAAATACGTAATTATATTACCTACTCTTATTTCATGAGCACATTCTGTTAACATTCTCTTTCTAACTTTAAACCAATGTTGTTTCAGCCTTCCATTACTTGCTACTGGATCATTAAGCGGTGTGATGGCATTCTGGGATGTTCCAACTCACAGACTCCGACAACAATGTAAACATCCAGTAAGTAAACACAATAGACTTCTTTCTTTTCTTTTCTTTTCTTTTCTTTTCTTTTCTTTTCTTTTCTTTT